TTCTACAAGTCTCTGATGACATTACCGAATGTTCCGACAAGATTTTTGTCATGTGCAAATCTAGCAATGTATGGTGAGCTGAGCTGTTAAGAGAGCCAATGTAAAGGACTTCAGTGCTTCTGCTGGTAAAGCTTAAAGTGACACTAAACTCAGGAGTTGAATCTTAAAAATGCATTAAAGCACCTTAAAGTGACATTAAACCCTCAGATTATAAGGTGGCTTATTTTGTTCCCCATGGTCCCTGTGTGTGTTGTGAAGTATCCACCGCTCCAACCTCACTCCCGTGATGGGCTACAATCTCAATACAAATTAGTAAACTAAAATGGACAGTGGCAGCACCAATTCAGAGATGATTTGAGGATCTACAGCCGAGTGATGTACAAATAAGTTACATTGTTGTTAATAGTTAAGGTATTGAATGTATTTTTAAAGAGGACCTGTATCCATAGCTTCAAAATAACAACAAAGGCACCTTTGGAAATGTTTAGTAATGACAATCTACAAACAGAAACTTCTACATAATTGCCGGCTTTTTATTCGTTGCATACCTTATTTTTATTTTCTTCCCCAGTCTTCTCACAGTGGCCATTTTAACTAAGGACAGATTAATATATCTCCTTTTACTTCCTGGAACTTTGGCACATGTGACTAGGACATGTGACTATGCACATCATCTCATGGGAGGAAAATGCCTTTCTCTGAGATCTCATGAGATTTCCCAGCAATGCTCTGCTGATGTAACCTTCCCAGGATGCAATTGTTGGGCACATGTTGTGCCAAAGTGGACCTGGAAGTGGAAAAATAAGAAATTGTAGGTAAAATTAAAATATGTTGTTTGTTTAGCTAATGCATGCAAGATAATTTCATGACAGCATGCAGAGCTGTATGCTGATGTGATTTTTAGTCAAAGGGGGTAAAGGTCCGCTTTAAGATTTAACTCCAGAGTTTAGTGTCACTTTAAGGATGAATTGCTCCGTTTGCCTGCAGATATGGAGGTCAGCTGGTTTTAAACCCTTTTATTTGCAGTTATGAAACTACGCCAATGAAACGTTACAAGACCTACATGCTTGGCCTCATGTTTTGGCATTATGGGATTCGAAATTTCACCACAGAGTGCCGAGGTTGCTTACCTAGGCTGTGGACAGATCTTCCAGTTGGCAAAGCAATTACCCTGTTTCCCCGAAAATAAGATCTACCCCGAAAGAAAGACCTAGCCCTATTTTTCAAGATTCCTGTAATATAAGACCTACCCTGAAAATAAGACCTAGTTTGGTGGTAGCATGTGAGGGGGAACTTGAAGCGCAGGAGAGATGGTATCAGCCTGCAGGGACATACTGTATTAAGGGGATGAAAAGGGACTCCCTCCGGCCAGCGCAGAGACAGGGAGCACTCCAGTACCATACTTCACCAACTGCTGTCCCCCTGAAGGCACTGCTTTAATGTAATGGTACTGTACTGTAATGTGTACAGGTAAATGGTACTGTACTTTACTGCACTGTCTGATGTCCCCACTGCTGCACCGCTGGTACCACTGTCCCTGATGGCAAAGCATGCCAGCGTTGTAGAAGGCAAGGCTGCGGCAAAGGAGGGAGCAGAGCCGCATTAGCAGATACTTCTTCTATAGCGCCAGTTACTGTGACAGGCTGAGTGATACCAGATAACGTTTGGATTGTTGTACATCAATAACTTTAGATTGTTGTACATTTTGTTGCACAGTAAAAAAAAATGAGACATCCCCTATAAATAAGACCTAGTGTGTTTTTTGGGGGCAAAAAAAATATAAGACAGTGTCTTATTTTTGCGGAAACACGGTATAACCAGGTAGGGATCCTAACCCTTTCATATTCTATCCAAAACTAAAAAATAGTGGCATCACATACACTTGAATGCATTATTAATTACAATGTATATACAGTATATATTTTTTATTATGTAAGAAAATATTTTAGGGCAAACCTAAGTTTACTTCCATTACTGTATTGTAACCTCTGGGTCTCCTTGTATTCTCTCCTTCCAGGGGGTGAGGGCTGAATGTTTCATGTATGTATTGTATATGTACATCATATTATTATTTATTTTATTTTTTTCTACTCGACAATCATGTTTGGGGGTTTCAAAGATAAGGACCAAGTGAAATGGACTACTCTTGTGCATAACCAAGTTGGCAGCAGCTTGCAGGATGGTTTCACATGTTTACAGATCAGCCGTAGCATATCAATATTTTATTCGTCTAACCAGTCTGCTCCTCTATACCAATGTGTGCCCAAGAAAGATGTCTTCCCACTTCCTCGATGCTATTGTATTAGATTGCCATCTAGCACATTTTCCATGTCATGCCATTATTAGGAACATTGCTATAGTCTGACCTCTAGTGGTTGTTTATACATATTAACCATTCAAACTACAACAATATTTTTGTAGCACCGTGAAGAGGATTGAGCCATCAGCATCACATCTGGACACTCGCTAGGGAGGGTCATCATTTGTCTGGTTTTAATGCATAATGGAAATACATCAAACTTGACCTTCAATTACATAAGCTTGTTTATTTTTATGATGACATATTTGTTGGTTAAATTATGATACAAAGTCAAATAAAGCAGAAGTTTAAATCTGTTTATATGTTGTCTTCCCTGTGAACCCCAAACCCAGGAGGTCTAAGTTCGGCATGGAGTGAAACTGAGCATATGGGACTACCTCGGAGGAGGCCACCATTAAGCCTAGAACTTTCATACAGTCAGGGTCACCTGGACTGCAAGGTCTGAGCGTGGGAGCAGAAAGACTAACAGGGTTATTCACAAAAGGGTGAAGAGTTTGGAGAAGGAAGGAGAAGTGAACAATCTAGGACTGATTTGGAAAAATTCTCCAATTCCGCTCACTTTCCAGTTCAGCTATGTTGTCCTAGATTGTTCACTTCTCCTGCCTTCTCCAAACTCTTCACCCTTTTGTGAATAACCCTGTGCATCTTTTTCAGGAGAAGACCTTGGAGAGGGCTGAGTCTAAGATCAGGCCCGGGTACACCAAGCAATGAAAGGGTTCCAGGGTCGACTTCTGGAGATTCAGGACCCATCTGAAGCTCTGCAGGGTTTGCATCATTGGAAGATAAGGCTCGCACCAATTGCTCTCAGCCACCCCGTACAGCCCTATGTCTATGATCCACCATTGTGCTGAGAGCAAGTCCCAAGTACTCATGACTGCAGAGGTCGTAAGGTGCCCTGTGATCAAGCACTACCTTCTGGAAGGGTCCGGGTACAGTCTGCCAAGGCGTAGCCAAAGAGAAAACCAATATGGATCACTGCTAGGAGATTCAGCAGTGGCTTTCAGCAGCTTAGAGGAGCGTGATAGAAGAGTCTTGAAGTAGAGAAGGGTGTGGTTCTCTAAGAGTAGAGAGAAGGCATCCATTGCTCAAGGACTCACCTGAATGTAGGTGCGTAACCCATTTGTTTCAGAATGAACTCCCTGTGTTGTAGAATCAAATCAAAAAATGTATTTTAGACCCAGTGACATCATCACTGGGTCTCTGTGCTTCTTTATGCACTACAGGCAGATCTTTACTGTGGTTTACATGGCTTCCTGAAAACATTACAGTACCCTGCCACAGTACTCTTCTTAAAGGAGAACTATGAGGTGAGTAAAAATCACTCATCATAGTTAGAGCCGACGTGTGACAATTAAGCTGTTACACGTCGGCTCTATAGATCGGGAAGTGAGCGAATGCATACCATCGCTCGCTCATCTCCCTGCAGAGAGCGGTGACTGTCAGTCACCACTCACCGCAGGGATTTCCCGCTACGATCGTCCAGCGCTGACTAGAGGAACAGGTGGCTCTGCCTCTAGGTAGGCAGAGCCCACTGTCACTCACGCAGCTGGGTGGATCTCAACAGCATTGTTGGGATCCGTCCCGGCTGCGGCGCTCTCAGTATACCGCGAGCCTGCTATACACTGAGCTTTTGGTCACAGGTTAGTATATTTCCTCCCGTGACCCTAAAGAGAACTATGAGGAAAAACACTTACCCCCATAGTTCTCTTTTAAGAGTCCTGAGCCTTGATGCAATCAGTGGTCTGACCCTCAGAGGGAGATTATGCCCTAAGTAATGGCCACATGTGCTGCTAAACCGCCACAATTGAAAGAACTGAAATCCAATGAATAAAAAGAGATGGACCAGGGACAGTCAGGCTTGGGAGGAAAGGTCTAGAAGATGATAGACATCATCCTGTTTGGAGATGAACCCTTTTAGCTTCTAATGCTCACAGTGTGCAGTGTAATCCAGTATAGGAGAGGAGAACTATGCAAGACTGTGAAGGTAAGGCTGGAGAATGAGGCCTGTTGATGTGTACCAATCCATAGGTGGTCACAGTATAAAGATTTCCCCTGATAAAGCCATGCCTTTCAGCCAATCAGCTGTCATCACTATTTGGGTATTCTGACAGCAACACACCCACCATGTTCAAAATACAATATCCCAGCAGGTGGTTGGCCAGCTTGCACTGGTGACGCACCCGGCACATTTAACATTGATAGAGGAATCTAATAGATTCCACAGCCAGGATAACCAGCTGCGAAGTATGGTCACCCACAGTAGTGAATGGGGTAGGCGGCTCTATGTGGGTTTACTCCTCTACTTACTTAAACTCGGCATGCCTAGGTGTGTAAAAGCCTGAGCCTAACTAGTGTCCATCCATGAGGGGCCTGAGTTTACACATACACAGGTTTGGGCAAGTAGCTCTGTGAACCCACCTACAGCTGCCTACCCACATTCACTACTAAGGGCGGAGGTGGAAATATATCTGCAATTTACATTATACGTCCTCACACATCCCTGTGCACGGGACCTAAGTCATTCCATCAACCATAGAAATTGAGCAGTGACAACAAAGGTGCCCCTGCATTCATTACATAGCAACCCCACCACTCTCGTCATTCAGCCTCGTCGCGTGATACCATTGGGTCACATGACAGCCACGTACTCCCTCCCCGTCCCTCTCTGATGTTCCCGGTTTACTCCGCCCCCTGTCAGTCCAGACGAAGTCAGTGTCACCCAGCAGTATGGCGCAGCGTGGGAATACAGGACGTCCGTACCAGCTTGTCATATTCGGTGCTTCGGGCTTCACCGGGCAGTTCGTAGTGGAGGAGGTGTCCCGCGTGGCGGATGGAGGGGATTTCAAAGGCCAGGAGCTGCGCTGGGCCGTGGCTGGCAGGAACAAAAAGAAGCTGGAGGAGGTGCTGCACTGGGCTGCGGACAGGCTGGGTGAGACTCGTACACTTTGCAATACGCAGAGAGGGGTGTGCGTGGGGGATCTTCACAAATATACTATATTTGATATATATCTATCATGATAAGGATGGTGGTAGGTTGTCTTCATTCACAGGGCCACCTTTACAAATCAGGAGGTCCCTTACAGCTTACCTGAACATATATATCTAGATATAGATCTATATATATATACTACATATAGTGAGGATGGTGGTAGGTTTTAACTACTACTTGACAGGGAGCCCCCACCTCTCACGGCCTGGTATAGGAGTACTCCCTGTGCTCCCCTCCCCGGACAGTGCCATCACCTCATGATGATGTTGGTGAGTTTCAGCTGGCTCTGGGAAACTCAAGAGGTCATGTGCTGCACCTCCCATCCAGGGGAATCCACAGCTTACACCACCTCCTCACCTGAGCTGATCGCTCTGGGTGTTGCCATCTCTCCTGCCAGCTTGCACTGGTGATGCACAAAATGTGACAGCTCACATAACAGGCGTCCATGCTGTGCTTGGTGGAGAGCTCCCAGCCAAGAGTGGGGCCTGGTACAAGAGTACTGTCTGTACCCCACACTGCCCCCAGCATACAGACATTATCATGTGTGACAAACCTTGAAGGTTGCTGTGGATTATTGCACACTGTCCACAGCCTTCCCAAGATTAAAGTGTATATGTAGTCAGAACCTTTTTATTCTCCTTTTAGAAAAGGATTAGAAGCTTTGTGAGATTTTTTGCTGCCTGTGTCGCCGCACTCATCCTCGCTATTGAGCATTGTCACCATGACAAAGTGATGAGAAATCCCGAGTTTTAGGGTGCGTTCACATGGAGATTAGAAGGAAACCGCAAGTCAATGGCGGGTCTGTTGATTTGCAACTGTACCTTCCCATTTCCTTCCAATCTGTTGCGGATAACGTAAGGGCACCAAAAAAATAAATGGGGCTCGTTCACACCGGATCTGTTGTGTTTTGTTGCACTGGAAAAAAAGTAGTGCATGTTCTACTTTTTTGTCAGCACAAACGGAACGGATCCTGTGTGAAGCAGACCCATTCATTTTCCAGTGCCCTTCCGCTAGCATCTGTTGAAAACCCGATCACAATAGAATGGATCCAGTGTGAATGTTCTCTTAGAGTTGTCGCCAGAACAGAACTTACATCTTTGAGTTATATTTTCTATAGCACTATTCTCCCTGAGCACTCAAAGCACTTATCAGATTGGTGTTGGGGCAGATAAGAGGAGAAAACGGCCATCTTGAGCACACTCCATAGAATATCATACTAGGGCCAAGAGTGAGGGAGGAAGGCCATGCAGGCACAGGGAGAACTCCAGGTTAAGTGTCAGGTTGGGGACCCCAGTGGTGTAAAGCAAAATACTAACCACTAGATCACAGTGCTGCCTCTTCTAACAGGGACAATCCCCTTTTGTAGAGATTTCCTCTCACTTCCTGTTATGTGTCTGGGACAGAAAGTGAAGGGAAATCTCCCTAACCGGACACAGCAAAAAAAAAAAAACAACTGAAAGAGATTTTAATCCTTCCATAACTAAAAATAAAAGTTTTGGCTATGCATACACTGATCGGATGGCTGGCATAAACGTTTAGCACTACCTCTGCTGTCTCTAATTTAAAGGGATACCTCTTTGATAGGCCGTGTCTTGTACAACAGACAGTGATATGATGGGACACATTTCCAAGGGAAAAGAATAGGAGTCGGTGCAAAGTGCAATAATAACCAGCAACGTATCTTACCTGATATCTTATCTGTAATGTCCGTCCCGTGATAGAACAGAAAACTACATATGAAGCGAGAGTTGCGTCAGGGCTGAACAAGAAAAAACTCTAGGTGTCACATGGCTCCCTGCAGGCGGAACGGACGGGGAGGGGGCGGGTACAGCTGGCTCTGCCTCTACATAGGCAGAGCCAGCTGCCACTCACGCAGCTGGGTGGATCCAGACAGTAATGTCGGGATCCGTCCCGGGTGCGGCGTCTCCGTATACCGCGAGCTGTAGCTCGCTATGTACTGAGCTTTGGGTGACGGGAGGACTCTAGTTTGTGTCCTCCCGTTACCATTTGGAGAACCATGGTGGAAAGCCCTGATCCCATAGTTCTCCTTTTAACTTTAGTTTGTCCTAGGTCAGTAAATGATCTGATGAGACTGCGGCTCCTTTTTTCTTAGTTGGCTGGTGCCGTAAGGTATGGGGAGTCTCTAGAAAGGAATCCCTATGTTATGCTGGCACCAGGCTGACAAAAATATGATGGCTGACCTCTCCTACTAAATAAAAGCTGCTTTCTTGACAATCCGGTGCCTTCATTACTATTGGAGCAAATGTGGTTCTGATTGCATATGATGTGCACTTGTTCCGGGCTAGTGACTCAGTCTTGAAGTCAGTGTCAACATAACAACTATGGATGCACCAATACCGATACTGGTATCGGTGCTGATACCGAGTATTTGGGCGAGTACTTGTACTTCCGGTATCAGTACCTCGTCGCCAGGGAGCATGGAACTGGCTTCCTGGTCAATCAGGATGCCAGGGGGTGGGCAATGACGGGTTACTGATTGGGCGGAAAGCCGACTCCATTCTCCCTCATCATTTGGTGACGAAGGAGCATGGAGCCAGCTTCCCGGCCAATATCAGAAAGCCGGGCGGTGAGTCTCTACACACCACCCAGCTTCCTGATTGGTTCGGGAAGCTGGCCAATCAGGAAGCCAGGCGGCGAGTCATGACCCGCCCCTGGCTTCCTGATTGGCCAGAAATCTAGCTTTATGCTTTCTCGTCACCTGGTGACGAGGGAGCATGGAGACGTCCTCCCAAGTCATTACACGCCGCCCGGCTTCCTTAAAGGAGAACTATGACATGAGTGATTTCCACTCGCCTCAAACTTCTGGTGTCGGTGCATCCCTAATAACAACCAGGTATTTATCATTTTCCATCAGCACGGGGTTCCTTTCAGTTTTCTCTATACACACACAGAGTTGAATTTATCAAAACTGGAGCAGACAAAATCTGGAGCAGTTGCCCAGGGCAACCAATCAGCTTCTCAGTTGAGATTTGAAAATGAAAGAGAGAAGCTGATTGGTTGCCATGTACAGATGCTCCAGATTTTGTCTGCACCAGTTTTGATAAATTCCCCTCACAGTTTTTCATATATGGCATTAGCGCAAGGTTTTCGTAGTGAAGGTAAGGGTTAAAACTCCTGTTAGTCACATTGTTGTCGTACTCACTCCATAAGGAGGTCTTCCAAACCTCTTCACCGTTGGCTGTTGTAAAACACAATCTTGGCCAACTAGGGGGGAATGACTTGGAATTGGTACCAGTCTCTGCTGTTAAATTTTTGTTTTCCTTTTCAGCCAAGCCGCAGCTGAAGTCCATTGACATTATAATCTGCGATGTTGGTGACGCCCCCTCCCTCGCTGAAATGTGTAAGAAGGCCTCTGTTGTTCTGGACTGTGTGGGGCCTGTAAGTAATAAACAAAGGCTACCCATTGATGTATGTATGTCTGTCTGGATTATGTAAAGGTCTTGCTTGCTACAGGACTGGGCCTGAAAAATTGCTTACTTTAGCTTGAAGTCAGAATCTCTGGTACGTTTTTGGTTTTATATAGGAGCATCCTGGGGGGGATTATCAAAACCTGGAGCAGGCAAAAAATGGACCAGTTGCCCATGGCAACCAATCGGCTTCTCTCTTCAGTGTGTTCAGTTAAGATTTGAAAAAGAATGAGAGAAGCTGATTGGTTGCCATGGACAACTGCTCCAGGTTTTCCCCTCAATATATGTTTCCTGCTTACTCTGATGCTACATCTTTTAACCACACCCGCAGAATTCTCCAAGAGGGGATGCAAACATATCATCCAAGTATGACAGAAATGCCTCATTCTTAAGGACAGCAGGCTCCTGCACCCCTCTGAAAAACAACTTGGGGTGGCAGTATAGCAATGGCTGCCCGGCATTCAGGAGGCAATACTGTCGCCTCTTGAACGCCATTTTCTTAATTACAATTTTCAATTACAATACTGTGGGCTACCAGTTGTGACACGGTCCCATTGATTGCGTTGGTCACATTTGGCAAGCGTGACATGCCGTTTATAATCTGACACAAAGCATCCAGGTTCGGGCATGTATACAAGCCTGGTTTCTTCTTTTGAGATGGTCCTTGCAATATCACCCAAAGAAAGCTACTGTCACCCTCACCTAGGCACTGTCTGTGGAAGTGGGGGGTAAGGTAAGCATGTTGTCTCACTTTTTGGGGGGTTTTATGCAGTGTTTTGCGATGAGGCCGAACTGAATAAACGGTCCTTGTGATTTTATCAGACTATTCAGAACTGTGTGCCATGATTTAAGAAATGGCAGTGCCATGAACAGTCTGCATGACACTTTGAAGCAGTCAGCAGAGGTACACGCATCAGATAAATAAATGCACTTTGCCCCAGAAATATTTGTGACCTATAGACTAATAATCAGAGAGGATTACAAAAGCCATGCTAGACAGTCACAGTGAGTCTGGGCCTTCTGCAATGGGTCAAAGGTAGCTCTGTCTTCCACATAGGGTTGTTACTTTGCACAGCCAGCAAATATAAGGGAAAGGGATTGTGTATGTTTATTATTGTTTGGATAGATTTATTAAAGTCAAATCCATGAACAACCAGTGTCTTTTTTGGAAGGCAAAGGATATGTTTTCCTTACTACTTTTCTGTGTTTATAGATAGAAGTATGTCATCTCCCTGTCTAAAAGGTCCGGCCATGACTGCATTAGAAGATTGTGTGTGTGTAAAAATATTTCAGCATTGAAGATGTAAACAAAACAAACCTTTCTAATGGCAGATCTCTTTAGTTCTCCAAATAAAAGCAATAAACTATTTAGCCTCTATTTTGTTTCTGAAGCTGGGAGGATTATTAAAGGAGAACTATGAGGTGAGTGCTTTTCACTCACCTCATAGTTCTAGCCGACCTGTGACAATGAGACTGTCACAGGTTGGCTCAGTAGATCGGGAGGTGAGCGAACACATACCGGCGTTCGCTCACCTCTCGATCCTGTCACAGCTCTCTGCCGTGACAGGGGAGGGGCTGGATTCCCCCCCTCCCCGCTCCGATCTGCCAGCGCTGACTGGCGGAACGGACGGGAGAGGGGGCGGGTACATCTGGCTCTGCCTCTAGATAGGCAGAGCCAGCTGTCAGTCACGCAGCTCGCAGTATACTGAGGCCGGCAGAGAGCCGTGACCTGGGATGGACTGGATTTCCCCCTCCCATGTCCGATCCTCCAGCGATGACTGGCGGAACGGACGGGGGAGGGGGCGGGTACAGCTGGCTCTGCCTCTAGATAGGCAGAGCCAGCTGTCACTCACACAGCTGGGTGGATCCAGACAGAATTGTTGGGAGCCGTTTCGGCTGCGGCGTCTCAGTATACCGCGCCTGTAGTTCACGGTATACTGAGCTTCGTGTGACGGGAGGGCGCTAGTTTGTGTCCTCCCGTTACCCTAAAGAGAACTATGGGGAAAAGCCTTAACCACATAGTTCTCCTTTTAAGGAATTGAACCAGAAGGGGAACCAAGAGGGAATTTCTACTCACTTTTTAGAGATTTTCTCTTACGCCCTGTTGTGTATCTCGAATAGAAAGTAAAAGGAAATCTCCACAACAGCATACAAACAACAACAAAAATTGCTTGCTCTATGTAAAAATAAAAGTAAATGACATTCCTCAGTAATAGCATTGCTCCTCTTTGTGGTGATATTGGAGTCAAATAAACTTTCTTTTTTCCCTTGTGTTTATAGTACAGGTTTTTCGGTGAACCTGTGGTGAAAGCTTGTGTAGAAAACGGAGCACACTTTGTGGATATAAGTGGAGAACCCCAAGTAAGTGTGATAAGAACCCACAGTTATGATTGTAGGGTCTCCAATACACTTAGGAATACGTCCTCATAACATCTATCGGATAAGTTAACGCTCTACTTTACCTTGCACCTTTTTATGGCTTTTAATTTTGCTAAAACTAACATTTATGGGGCATGGCCTGGCAATGGAGACGTGAAGACGTGTCTCCCTCGAGCTCTGCATCTCCCGGCACCGGCCTAATCTCTAGCTGATGATACAGTACCTCTTTTTGGATGTCTCGGGTGCAGGGGAGTCAGGTGTGTCTCAGGAGCTCCCGACAGTCTGACTTAGCGGATTTCTTCGCGGGCGCCTCGAGCCGACCTGGGGACACGCAACTCATGGCATCTACCCGCTCGGCAACTGCAGGCCCCACTCCTTCCAAGGTCCGGGGTAAAGTTACAGCGCTGCCCCTCCATGTGGAGGATTCGGCGCGCGATCGGTGCCCCTCGCCGGAACTCTCTATGGCTACATCGGGTGCCCGTTCTGGGACCAAGGTAAGCGAGGGGGGAGACTGGAGAGAGATTCTCCCGCGTCTCACCACGAAAGGCGACCTGGAGGACATGGCTGCACGGATAGTGGCGGCCCTCAGGCAGGAGGTGCAGGAGATTGGGCAGAGGGTGACATCCCTAGATGGCCTGGTAGCTACAGTGGAGGAATCTACCACAGCCCTCACACAGCGAGTAGCGGCCCTGGAATCGGCCCAGTCTGCCATAGGCACCCAGATGACCACGGCATTTCTCCGCCTAGATGATGGCGAGAACCGCAACAGACGTAACAACTTACGCCTGAGGGGCATCCCTGAAGCCACCATGGGACGGGATCTTCGCTGCACGGTCGTAGCGATTCTCAACCAATACCTGGTCTGAGATGGAACTGGACCGGGTACATCGCGTCATGGGCGCCCGCGCTACAACTCACACCAACCTTCCACCACGAGATGTGTTACGCCGGGTGCACTTTTATTCAATCAAGGAAGAGATCCTGAGGCAAGCCTGGCATAAGGGGCCTCTAGATTTTAATGGCGCACAGGTTCAAATTATGCCTGACCTCTCTAGACATACCCTCCGCATGCGCAGATCTATGAGGCCTTTGCTGGAAGTCATTCGATCTGCTGATGCCTCCTATAGATGGGGCCACCCATTTCACCTCATCGTGAGGAAGGGAGACTCGTCATTTTCTCTGCATCGCCCTGCACAGCTGCCAGACCTGTTTGCCTTACTGGAAGCGGAGGTGATACCGATCCCGAATTGGCTGGTCTTCTCTGATGACCACCCGCCCACGGTCGGCTTCCCGACGGGACCGGCCAGGAGAGGGAGATCCCGCAACCGAGCCAGCCAGAGGAATGTCCCCGGCCCTTCCCATGCCAGGAGTGAGACCTGAAGTCCCCACCGGATGGAATCCTGGCTCCTATCTCAGGTTTTATGTGCATTTTACCATCCCAAGGTTGTTGTTTGCTCTGTGCAAGTTAGCGCTGTTCATTAGACTTTTCTGATGTTAGAGGGGGCCCCCACTAGGGGTGCCACTGGCCGTCCTGTGACTTTAGCCTCCTTTTTTGCCTTGGTAGGGCCAGTGGGGCCTTGGGTGGACTCTCTTTCAACACCGTGGATGGGTTAGAGAGGTAGCTAAGCTAGGTCAAATGTTTTATTTCCAGACTTTTGTTATTACAAGTATCTAGCCAGTTAGATAGGAGATGACGGGCCCCAAAGGTCATGGGTGGGGGTTCTCTCAGCATCACGGTGTGGCTAGCGAGCGAGTTATGTTCTGTCTTATGTTTTATTGCCATGTTTATGTTATGCTATTTCATTTATTTACTTAGTTACTTGCGGGAAGACAGACCGCCCATTGGAGGGCGGGGGGGGAGGCGAGCAGCTGATCCCTCGTGGGGGTAGCTAAGGAGTGACACTAGGTATATGCAGATCTGACGACTTCTCTGACGTCCCACTTCCGCATAAATGCTACTGATCAGGCTGACCCACTGTCTGTGTGGGAGGCACACAAATGTGTTCTGCGGGGCATCCTTATTCGGCATTATGCGAGACTGAAAAGGGAACGGAATGCCCAAATTGAGGCCCTGCTGTGCCGCCTACGCAGACTAGAGGCGTCCCACAAACAGTCACTGGCAGTGGCGACCTACCGGGACCTCGTGCAGGTCCGGGAGGAGCTGAATAGTCTTCTGTTTGTTCGGGTGAAGAGACGGGCAATGTGGGGTAGGAGGTGCCTATATGAGCATGCAAATAAACCGGGTAGGTACTTGGCCGGGGCTTTACGGGGCCCGAGAGGTAAATCGTTCATATCACATCTGATCTCTAGGCAGGGCTCCCGCCTCACCCTATCAAAGGACATGGCAGGGGAATTTTGTGACTTTTACCATAAACTCTACAACCTGGAACCCGACCCCCAAATTCGGGAGGCACCGGCCAGAGTAGAGGCGATAGACCGGTACCTTAGGAGCTCCGGTCTCGCCTCTCTCTCTCCAGCAGACAGGGAGTGCTTGGAACGCCCGATTTCGGCGGAAGAGCTGGCGGGGGCTCTGAGGCAGTCCAAGTCCGGCAAGTCGCCGGGCCCGGATGGCTTCACGGTCCCGTACTACCGAAAGTTCCTGGATCAGTTGTCCCCTCATTTCCTGGCAGCCTTCAATGCTATTCTACTGAATCGCCCCTTTCCAGTTGATTCTTTAAGGGCACATGTGGTAGTGATATCTAAGGAGGGGAAGGACCCGGTGCAATGTGGTAGCTACCGCCCCATAGCCCTCCTGAACGTGGACCTGAAACTGTTCGCAAAAATCCTAGCCACTAGCTCAGCCACTCGCGACATGTGTCCAAGCTTTAGTACAGGATGACCAGGTGGGCTTTGTTTTGTCTAGGGAGGCCAAGGACAGTACAACCCGGGTCATAAACCTCGTTCACGAAGCGCGTTCCACGTCCTCCCTGCTGATGGTCCTCTCAACCAACGCCGAGAAGGCGTTCGACAGGGTAGACTGGCAATTCTTAAAGTCCACCCTACGCCATATCGGTCTGGGTCCTCATATGCTCTCCTGGATATCGGCTCTCTATTCCCATCCCACGGCCGCCATCAAGGTTAACGAGGCTAGATCCCCTTACTTCCCCCTTACGAACGGCACGAGACAGGGATGCCCTTTATCCCCGCTGATATATGTCTTAGCACTGGAGCTCTTTCTGGGACATGTCAGGAGGAATGGGGGGATTTCGGGATATCGGTCACACTCCATAGAACATAAGGTCACCACGTATGCGGATGACCTGTTATTCTTTGTCACGCAGCCTCGAGTTTCCCTACCGGAACTCATGAGGGAGTTCGAAAGTTATGGCTCCCTATCCAACTTGGCCATCAACTGGTCTAAGTCGGCGGCTCTGCATATCACGCTGTCACAGGTAGAACAAGACGCGATCGGGGCCACATTTCCCTTCAAGTGGGAAGATCACTCCCTGCCCTATCTGGGGACGCATATCACGGCAGATTTGAACGCACTCTACGAGGCAAATTTTGCTCCCCTCTTATCGCAGATCAAACAAGACTTAAAAGCGTGGCAGGCCCTGACGGTGGCGTGGTTTGGACGCTGCAATGCACTAAAAATGACCATACTCCCCAGAATACTGTTACTGATGCAAGCGTTGCCCATCCGTCTACCGCAGGCCTTTTTTTCTCACATACGCAGAATGTTCTTGTTGTATGTTTGGGCGAATGGAGTGCCCAGAATTGCCAGACGCCTCCTTACTATGCCTAAGTCGGTGGGTGGGATTGGGCTTCCAGACGTCCATCTGTACTATAAAGCAGTACATCTTAATAGGGTTGTAGACTGGTGTTGCCACTCCGCCCTTAAACAATGGGTACGCATGGAATTGAAGACCGCCCCGCTCCCGCTCCCAGGCCTTCCGTGGCTCTCGAACCCATTGCCCACATCTTGCTCCCAACATCCCACGATAGGTGCCACTCTAAGGATTGTGAGGACGTTGTTCCGCACCTCCTCCATCTCCCCGTTCCCCTCCCCGCTCACCCCGGTGATAGGGGACCCAGACTTCCCAGCGGGGATGGAAAACCGACGCCTCCGCACTCTAATTGATCTCGGCAAATTTCGGGTACGGGATTTTAGAACGGGGGGAGGTTGGCTGGAGACACACGCACTGCAATCTCTTCTGGAGCTACCCCTGGATGTTTGGACTACTTACCAACTCCGACACTTCCTGTTAGCTATCCCTGTCTCGCTGCAACTTGACAGACCACAGACTGCATTTGAGGACATGTGTGGAGGGGGAGAACCGGTCCGACACACACTATCCCAGACCTACAAGATGCTAGT